AGCAGCAAATCAGCATATTAGAATGATTTCTGAAGGATCATGTGACACTGAAGACTGGAGAAATGATGCTGAAAATTCAGCTTTGATCATTAATTACATTTTAAAACATATTCAAATAGAAAATATTTCAAAATTGTACTGTTTTTGCTTCACCGTTATTGAAAAAAATTATATTGCGATACATATTGATATTGAATTATTGTCCAGCCCTAAATTCAATAAAACCAACTGAAATTAATATAATATTATATTATATAATATATATAAATATAATATATAATATAAACTAAATATGTATAACTATAAATAAATATAAATGTAACATTTAAATATGATATAAATTATACACACACGCACATACAGGTGCATCTCAATAAATTAGAATGTCGTGGAAAAGTTAATTTATTTCAGTAATTCAACTCAAATTGTGAAACTGTACAGTAAATTAACATACTTTCCAGAAGGCCAACAATTCATTAAAAATGTTTTTTTTTATTGGTCTTATGGAGTATTCTAATTTGTTGAGATAGTGAGTTGGTGGGTTTTTGTTAAATGTGAGCCAAAATCATCACAATTAAAATAACCAAAGACTTAAACTACTTCAGTCTGTGTGCATTGAATTTATTTAATACACGAGTTTCACAATTTGAGTTGAATTACTGAAATAAATGAACTTTTCCACGACATTCTAATTTATTGAGATGCACCTGTATATGCTGTATACAATTCATAATTGTATATTTAATAATTATATTTTATTTAATAACACATTAAAAATGAAAAGTAAAATGAAATTAAACTGAAATTAATCATATTTAATGTAACTATAATGAATAATTTAAAACTATAATTAAATGAAAACATATGTTTATATACATATATGTATATATGTGTGTGTGCTGTATATTATTCATCATTATTTTATTTATTTATTATATTTATTTTAATAATTATAGTTTATTTACACACACATACTTAATACATGTAAGATGAAATTAAACCTGAATGAAATTAATTAACAATTAAATACGATTACATATCAATGATTACATGTCAACTACTAAATATGTATAATTTAATTTAATTATAATTAATAATTACAAATTCTAATTCATTAATAGAAACATTATGACTATATACATATATGTAATATATAATATACTGTATATGTGTGTGTATGCTGTATATTATTCATAATTTTATATTTTAATAATATACAGCATACACACACATATACAGTATAT